GACATGCTAAAATTAGGTTGATAGAAAAAAGAGTGATTATTGTGAGTATTTATTTTGAATCTTATGTTCCAATAAAATTTATCTTCAAACAAGTCATTATGTTTATAATTTACGTAATATTTTGTCATTTTATGAGTTATTTACAATTTTTATTACTTTAATTTTTTTGTTAGCCTCGATCCACCTCAAGGATTATGCCTCGCCTCGCTAAGGAAAAACATCTCGATTCATGATATCGCCTTTTTAAACCTTGGTTGAATATACTCTGGGTTTCCTTATATGCCAGTACGTTATGGAATTTGTTGCATATGAGCATCATGTAAATCAAGAAATTTTAGGTTGGCAACAAGTAGAGCCTAGGGATTTGCATATGGGATGGCAAGTATTGGAAATCCCACCAACACAGTAATTCATGTATCTCTACCTTCTAAATATGTTTGCTACAATTAAAAGAAGAGGTGCTCAAATAGGAGTTTGAATCTTTCTCATTCCTTGTTAGCAAAACCTGATGTGATGCAAAGGGGAGTTACACAAGAATTTAAAAGAGAATTAAATTTAGCTCCTCAAATTATCTAATCATGCATCAAAGTCAGTCAATTATAAGTAATTCGCAGCGTTCGATTTGCTAGGCAAAGAAACTACGACAAGAGAACTAAACTCTTTAAGCAAGTGCGAAGGAACAATAAAACAAAGGCTAGTAAATAGGAATCCCACAGTTAATACAAAGTTGTTCACCTTGAGACCTTTAGCTCTCTCTTCCTACGGAGACTAAGTTGAGCGACGGAAGATTGTCCAAACTAGCATGGAGGTTGCCACAAAGATGGAAGCACCAAGGAACGTTGCCGTGGAAGAGGATCTCGGAGGTGGAGGAGGCACGGTAGATCGACCTTTGATAATCCAAGTGTAGACGGAGAAGTGTTCGTCAATGGAGTCTACAAGCGTCGGTAAGATTCGGTCCAAGTATTCGTCGACGGTATCGTCGAAGTCAAATCCGACGTCAAAGAATTGGGATCGCAAGATATTGACTCTTCCGTTGCGGTCGTATTCAAACCCGTAGTTCCACTCGGGTTCGTCCATGCATCCTTGGAGTAGAGCCGAATGGTCGCCGCAAGCAAGATCTTCCCAAGGAGGGCAGGTGGGGTGGCCTACCAGAGACTTGTAGGGAAATTGATCTACCTCTCCCACACTAGACCAGACATAGCATTTGCTGTAAGTATGATCAGTCAGTTTATGCAGAATCCAAAGAAGATTCACATGCAAGTGGTAGACAGGATATTGCATTACCTTAAAGGAAGACCAGGAAAAGGAATTCTCTTTAAGAGAGATTGTAGAATGACCCTAGAAGTTTACACGGATGCTGACTATGCAGGATCACCGGTTGATAGAAGATCTACCTCTGGGTATTGCACATTTCTTGGAGGAAACCTTGTTACATGGGCAAGAAACAGAATGTGGTGGCAAGATCTAGTGCAGAAGCAGAATATCGAACTATGGCCTTGGGAATATGCGAGCTACTGTGGATCAAAATAATCCTAGAAGATTTGAAGGTTAAGTGGGATGAGCCCATGAAGCTACATTGTGACAACAAATCAGCAATCAGCATAGCCCACAATCCAGTCCAGCATGACAGGACAAAGCACATAGAAGTGGACAGACATTTTATTAAAGAAAAACTAGACAGTGGTCTAGTAAGTGTTGACTATGTATCATCAAAGGATCAACTTGCAGATTTCCTTACTAAAGGATTGGACAGTTCTGTATTTCTCCGTATGATTGACAAGCTGGGAATGACGGATCCATATTTCCCAGCTTGAGGGGGAGTGTTGAAATCCAGCCGTTCCTAGTGCAAAGGATCTGACGGACACAAAGATCAATCCGTGAGATACTCTCATAGATTACGCCATAATGAGGGGACGTATTTAGAAAAGATTTTTATGTATTATTTATGTATTAATTATGCAATTTATTATTTCCTCATTAGGATGTCTTGTATAGATTTATAAATAGGGAAGATTGTAATGAATAATTTCAGGCTTTTCCCTCTGAAATTCTTCGTTTTAACAATTATTATTATTATTATTATTATTATGCTCTTTACATTCCTCTTACAAGCACATTTATGACATAATGTTGTATGGAAGATATACCATAAACATAGAACATGTGAAGAACCTGCTTTTTTCAAAAGAAGCATTTTTTAAACCCGGTGGTGTTGCAAAAAGAAAAAGCAAGGCAAATGATTGTTTATGAGACGGAAACCAATGAAAAAATAGACGGTCTCTAGAAGTAATTATGTTGATAGAAATAAAACTTATTTATATTAGAAGAGATAAGGCACAGTAACTGAAATTCAATGGACCTAAATGAGTTGCAGCTAGGTGAAAACCATCAAAAGGCCAAGACAATTTTTTTTTTTTTTTTTATTTTATCATCAAAAGGCCAAGACAATAAATACAAATATGAATAATATAAATTCAAATGATATTTTTGACGTGAATGTAGGGGTACAAGCACAATAATGTGCAGGGCACTTGACTCAATATGTTATTTTATATGTCATGATAGATAATTATTTTCTAGTTATAAATTATTAAATGGGCAAGTGCATATGAAAAACAATGGTGTGTGTAGTTTGTAGGATTGTAAGTTATAGTATAATTTGCACCTAAGCAGATGATGGTGTGCTTAGGACTGTGATTGAAGTGAGATATGTACTTGATTATAGAGTGAAACAAGCATCTTTGGGTACTCTAAGTGACACAAGGTACAGCTTTTTGGGTATCCTAAGATCCTCAAGATTTATAGGGATTCATTGGCTGTCATTAGAGCCAAAAGAGTCAAAGAATTGTATGCATTACAAAGTGCAACTTCAGGGGATGCTTCAGTTATTTATTCATTTGTGAGCATCACAATTTGGATGGGCAAAGGATTAGCTATATGGAAAAGTTCAAAAATAAGCTTAGACAGAAGATGATGGGAAAACTTCACGTAATCAAAGGATCAGGTTTAAGTTTCACAGTTTCATAGCACTAGTTGATGACATTGAAATATTCAATGTGAGAAGATGGCCACTTGAAATGGACAAAAATTCAATGGTAAGTGTAACATTCAAGTTCAATGGTGCCACTTTAGCGTGCAACATTTGTGCTTTAAAGCTATCTTGAAAAGTGTAGGGCCCTTCAAGAGGTTTTGAAGGCTTAAAGCACTTGATTAGAGAGGAGGTGATAGAATAGATTCAGTTTTTCACAACAACGAGCAAAGGAAAATAACTTTTAATTGATGAAATAGTTGAATACATGGTTTGGAAAGACGTTTGAGGTGTACGCCTCGATAGACTGCTTTAGCCTCGCCTACTTCAGCATTGACTGCTTCAGCTTCGAATGCTTTAGCCTCGCCTGCTTCGGCCTTGACTGCTTCAACCTCGCTCCGTGTCAGGACAAGTTCTTCGTGATGAGGTAATGATCCATCTTCTCTTTCTCGTGTAGGCTTTGACAATTTCGTGAGAAGCAATTATAAAATTTAAGACGTCTATTTCTTACATGAGACATTTATGTTGAAGTTAGATTAGCTTAATTTATATTTGTTATAATTTAACAATTTCATCTTTTTTTTCTTTTGTTTAGTTTAACAATTTCATCTTACTCTATTACTTTTTCTAGTTTAGGTCAAGCCGGAATTAATTAGTTGATCAGCACAGATAATTCTTTTTCATAGTTTTTAAGCACCGAGGAATAAATTATATTTTCTATAGCTTTCTTCTTTACGAATACATAATTTTTAGTTGTCAGGACTCTTTAATTGTAATGACATATTTTTTAATGAATTTCATCGCGAATAATTCTTTTTTATTTGAATTGTGTTTGTTATAGCTTTCACTTTTAAAATTTTATATGATTAAATCGTATGGAGGCATCATTTAGACAGGATAAAATTAGGTTGATAGAAAAAAGAGTGATTTTTGTGAGTATTTATTTTGAATCTTGTGCTTCAATAAAATTTATCTTCAAACAAGTTATTATGTTTATAATTTACATAATATTTTGTAATTTTATGAGTTATATTTTTTATTACTTTAATTTTTTTTGTTAGCCTCAATCCACCTCAAGGATTATGCCTCGCCTCGCTAAGGCAAAACATCTCGATTCATGATATCGCCTTTTTAAACCTTGGTTGAATATACTCTGGGTTTCCTTATATGCCAGTAAGTTATGGAATTTGTTGCATATGAGCATCATGTAAATCAAGATTCTCCAAATTTTAGGGTTGGCAACAAGTAGAGCATAGGGATTTGCATATGGGATGGCAAGTATTGGAAATCCCACCAACACAGTAATTCATGTATCTCTACCCTCTACATATGTTTGCTACAATTAAAAGAAGAGGTGCTCAAATAGGAGTTTGAATCGTTCTCATTCCTTGTTAGCAAAACCTCTCGGCAACTAAAGTTTTATTGGCAAACTAGTCTTCTAAAGTGCGTGTGAAAACAAAATGTGTGTGTTCTAATCTTGATTTGTGAGATTACTCTTGATTTTTCTTCTACTTCTTCTTTGAGTGTGCGTATACTTGGGAATTGAGAAATTCCTAATGAATGCTCTTGATTGGTACACAATAATTGTGGCATTTATTTGTGTTAGCACATCGGATCATCTCTAATTTAGTGTCACTTGGTGGTTTGTTTAATTTCTCTTTTTGTTCAACTTTGTGGAACATTTTTCTTGATCCTGATTGATGCTTCCGCTTCAAATCTTTTGGCAATCTCATAACAAACGTTGTTGATGAAGATGAACTAGACAATCCAACACAACAAAACTCATTAAAAATTCCCAAAAAAAGATGCATTCCTGTCAACTGACCATCTCATTAGAGTCAGCCATTTCCACTGTCAAAGAAATAAAGTTCTCATAATTTTAAAGTTTTCTCAGGTGGAAGTAGAAATAACAGAGATCCAAATATGTTTACATACGAAAATGAAAACTACTGTAGTTTGCAGCTTTACATGCCTGAATCCCGAGAAGAACTGCACCCTCTTCAAGAAAGATAGTGATGTGGCTTGTTATATTGAATGGAGCAGTGAGCCACCGCCCTCGCGGCACGTTGAGCTGCCCTCCACCGCTATTAGCAAGCCGGGAGATCGTTTCCACCGCTCTTTCGAAGGCCCCCGTGTTCATCGTTTTCCCATCTCCCGCCGCGTCAAAGTCCGTTAGGTTGAAAACCACAGGCCGTAGCCTTGGCACGGGCAGTCTCGGCGGGGCCATTCGGCCAAAGTGCCGGATCACGTCAACGGAGTTATTCTGCCACGCGAAGATAGACCCGAAAACGAGCATCCATAGAACCGTGAACAGGGTAAGAGGGTACGGGAGCTTCGTTGGTAGCCATCGCCGGTGATGGTGCAAATGGATCCGGCCACTTGGAGAAAACATTTGCAGCATCTCCTTCGCTGCTCAATGATTAAGAAGACAAAAGCCTAAAGGAATGAATCAGCTAGAAGTTCCGGCGAATGTATAAACCTTCAATCGGAAGGATCGGCGTGTTTAGGTCTCGCCATGTACCCGGCAAGACAGCAAGACGACGGCAAAAATGTTTTTAGATCATCTCCAACCGAAAATCTCATTTTTCACTCCAAAATGCCGGAAACTACAAAATGCCGTGATTTCATCTCGAATGGAACGCGTTTTTCACCCTTTTGCAGTTAACCGTCCCCTTTGTGGTAAAAATGGCGGAGATGAACAGTGCAACGTCAATATTGGCGTCCCACTGTTCACCCGCAGTCATATAGCGGAAATTTTGCAGTTCGGCTGGAGCTGGCCGGGAGCTCCATTCAAGCGTTTGGAGGTCGGTTGGAGATGCCCTAAGAAGGGACAGGATGGGAACTGGGAACTAGAAAAAGGCAGAATTAATTTACAGAAAATTTTAAACCTACCCAATTTATATATTTATTATTTAATTTTCACTTTTTTATAATTTTTTTCAAAATATGAAAAAAAAAAAATTAGCAACCCTAATGTCATTCAATTTAATTTCCTTCGCAGGCTATTTTCACCCCGTGTGCAAATGTCGAAGCATCCGGATGTTAATTCAGACGTGTTATGTCATTCAATGCATTATATATTGGGTGACGTAACACGTCCGAATTCGCCTCCAGACGCATTCCACATTATGATGTAATATTTTTTTCATCTTCAAACCTACTAGTTTCATTACCTTCGTCGCAACCACATCAAGAATCCTAAGTATCTCTATCTCAAGGAGTTTGATAACTAATCATTCTCCCTCTTTTTTTACTTTGATCTTATTTTGAGCGTTACCGAGGTTTTATGTCAAATTATTTTAGGGAGGGTTATAAAAATGAGAATGATTTAAATTAAAATAAGTTTAAGAAGCAAATATACAAATAAATTTAAATTGAAGTCATTATGAAGAATAGAAATCCGGTTTCTACTATTTCCGGTTTCAGTAGAAACATATATGTTGTTTTCCAGTTTCTGTTGAAATCCGAAATTGATTTTCTAATTTTTAAGGAATGTGTTATATGATTCTCCGCTTTCCCCTTAAACCTATTGTTAATAATATTCATTGATTTTGGATTACTTTGCCTTGTTTTCCACCCGTGATTCCCTCAATCAACGTAAATCAGTTTTTTTTTTTTTTTCTTCTGTAATTCGGTGATAGCTGGCTGTCTCTCGCTAAGAGGAACAATTATTACGTCACACGTGACCTGACGTAGTTCTACGTTTGGACGTCAATAACATATCGCCGTGGTCTTACTTAATACCGCGCGGCCCGACAACTTGACCCGGGATTGCTATATTCGCGTATTGCTCGGTATTGCTCTAGGTATTACTCGGTATTGCTAGGTATTGCTCGGTTGTCTAGGTATTGCTTGACAATAATGAAAAATATCGCTCTGTAAAGTTCAATACCGAGCAATACTGAGAAAAACTCGGTATTGCTCGGTATTGCTCTGTATTTCTCGGTATTGATCTTCACATAATGGTATTTCTCGTTATTGTCGAGCAAAACCGAGCAAATACCGAGAAAATACCGAGCAATACCTAGTAACACGCGAAAATAGCAATCCCGTCTGTCGGGGTTGTCGGGCCGCGCGGTAAATAGTGAGAACACGTGGCACTATTTTACTGGCGTCCGAACATAGAGCTACGTCAGGTGACCGGACCAAATAAAAGTTCTGCTAAGAGCCAATTATGTCAATTAACTCAATAATGCAGTTTCATGCATCTGCAAAATTGAACAATTAATGTATTATAAAAAAACATTCTTAGGTGACCTATAGAATATTTTTTATTTAGATGTAAACTTGCATAATTTTATGTGTGCCTTCTCCTTACAAGTTTAGATGTATTTTAAAAGCTCGGGGTAAAGCAAACTTAATGCATATAAAGTTTTTAAGATTGCTTGCTTGGTTGTAACATAAGTTTTTTTTTTTTGTGTGTTTGATAAACTAAAAATGAAATACATTACTTTAGCATAGGGATGACAGTGGCTCCATGTTGGCACACATGGCGGGGGCATAGAAGAGCTATAAAATTGGGGATGAGATCAAGGATAATGAGATCGAGGGACAATGAAGAAGAGTTTAGGGATGGTGAGACTGAGGTTGGTGATTGCATATAAGATCAAATTAGTTATATTGCAAATAGGGGTGTCCATTTCTGGTCGAATCCAAACTGACCCGTGTTCAAATGGGTCGACCCTAACCCGACCTGGATAGATAAACGGGTCGGATATCCGAACCCGGACCCGACCCGGCGGGTTGCCGGGGTGACCGACCCGACACGGGAAGGAGATGGGTCGCATTCGAGAGCGGACGCCGGCGGCAACGCTGACGAGGGTTGGCTAGGGCGGCGGGTGTGCGGGATGCGAGCGGGGGCGTGGGTGCTAGGGCGTGTGGGTGTGCGGTTGGTTGGGTGTGCCGGACACGCGCGGGAGCGTGGGTGCGCCGGACGACACGGTATTTTTCGGGTTGGGTCCGGGTCGGATTTTCATGTCTTGTCAAATATTGGCAGCCCTAGTTACAAATATCACTCAATTGTGGGGATGATGAGATCACGACTTTGCGTTGTGTGTAGGGGCAATAAGATGATGGGTTGGGATGCAATAGGGGATGGCAACAAATCATTGGCTGGAGTCACATGCAGGGATGACTATGAGTCGCACGACAACATCACAATGGTGATATCTAGGGTTGCGGTTCATGTCAAGTGAGGGGATAGCTAGGGTTGCTGCTCTGCATTTGGCCTTTGTTCGATCTAGACAAATTTTAATTCTTTAAAAAAATTAATTATAATACATGGAGTGTAATTTTAGAAGTGATAAATCTAATGCGGGGATTATGAGTACCCCTCAATTTTAAGGAAAATTTTTATAAGATGGTGACGAGACCTACAATGATTTATGATATAGAATATTGCCCATTAAAAAAAACATAAAAATAAGTGTTGCACGAATGTGTATGTTCGGGTGGATGAGGGACTTTACAATTAGAGATAACATGCAAAACACGCATATACGTTTAAGGTTAGAGTAGCTCTAGTGGTAGATAAGACATGAGAGAGTTGCCTTAGATGATTTGATCATATCATAAAACATTAGCCTTTCGATGACTAGATTATGAGAGTAGATGCATTAAATTTTGACCTATATTAAAAGAAAAAGGCATACGTTGAGCTAAAAAGGCTTAGAAAGTATAAGAAATTCATTTCCTACTTAGATTTAAACGAGAATTTGACTTTTAATAAGATACAATGGTGCGAAAATATTCAATTAATTAACCCGATGTAGTATCATAAATATTTAATGTTATTGTTGTAGTATGTATTTAAAACCATAAAAAACTTACTTCTCATTTATTTTTAACTCAATAAAACAATGTAAAATATAAAGAATAAGATATTACACTCTTTTATATACTAAACTACACATCCCCTTTATAAAGAATCATATTCCAAATGGAAACTTTCTTATGCTTCTTAGTGCTTCGTTTGAAACAATTTTTTTTTATTACAAAAATTTTTTTCTAAAAAATGATTTTAAAAAGAAATAAAAAATCACCCCAATCGAAATCTATATCACAAAGAGGTTAAATATTTCATTATTATCACAGCTTCAATTAACAATCTTTGTTGCCAGAGGAAATTATATAAAAATCAAACATCAAGAAACACAAAAATTGAAGCTTATAAGTGTAATAAAAATAGAAAACCCAGGTTTATTTTATGAGTTAGAACAGACTCATTCATTTTGAAAGAGAAAAAATGATTATGTTAAAATGATAACAAAAAAATAAAATAAATAATCATTAAATATAAGTAAGATATAATTTTTAGATATTTTAAATGATTTTTTTACTTAATCCTAAATACTAATATATTTCAATTACATTTTATATTAATATTTTTTAAACAAGTCGCTCACAAGCTAATGAGTCGAGTCAGAGCTGACTCAAGTTTGACTTGTTAGCTCATTAAGCTCGAGTCATGAACCATTTATTGAGTCTAGCTTGAGTCACCCAGACTCACTCGCCTTGAAAATAACTTAGAAGTCATAAATTACAGAACACACATAAAGCTGCATATATTATGTTTATCCATACAAATGCACAAATTATGAATCCCATTTATATATACATAAACCAATGATACTATAAAGCTGTTATCGAACTGAAGCTATAGTTAAGGTCAATAAGAGCAAATGTATAGGGCACTGTCCTGAGTAATTATTACGTCCTGATAAAAAATCGGAAATCCGGACGTATACCGAGCAATACCAAGTGTTCAATACCGAGTTTCAGGTGACGTGGCGCGTGATTATTGGTGACCTGACGTAATAATTGCTCTCCACTGCCCTTCCATACCTCACAATCGTCGGATCATTAAGGAAAACTTCCATCCTGTTCACAATGATCCTTTTGGAGGAGACACTTCTTTGGAGTCCATCTAACTATGCAAGATAAAGGCTTCATTTGGAGTGGCTTTCTTAATGTTTTTTAAAATAGTTTTTTAGTACAAAATTTTCTAATTCAAAAATTTTTGTATTAAAAAAACTGCTTTAAAAAGCACAGTCACAAATGAAACCAAAATATAATTTCTTGACTAGACCTGCAAATCAAAAATCAAATGTACTTCTAATTTAAAAAAAAAAGTATTAAAAAAACTTTTTATAAAGTAATACGAAAGCTGTCTCAAATGAATCGTTAATCATATTCGAGCAAGATTTAACAGTAGGAAATCATCATATGTGCTTAGTTTCACTTAGTGGGCTTTTTGGGATATGGAATTTGATAGTGTTAAAAAATGTTTGTTTAAGAGTGATGGTTGATGTGAGCTCTCATATGATATGCTATGATAAATATTAAAAATAAAAATATATATTCATAATAAAAGTGAAATAAGAGTTTCCCTACTAATATACTACTAACACAACATAAAACATACATAAAAAAATTGAATTGGTTTCTAAAATATTATAATATTTTGTATTAATTTAGGAATTTAATTTAATCTTTTTTAATGATAATATTATTTTATTTTAAATTAGATTATGAATCCCTCCCTATCTTAACTCT